TATTGAATACTGAATTGCTCTTTGGGGGCTCAGGTGGCACTTTATTAAAACACTGCAAGGTCTCAAGAACACCCCTGAAAACAAGGACCCTCTTTTTCACTGTATCGAAACACTAACCAGATATTATGGTCCATACTGACATGACAGCATCACACAATTACTGCAGATTGTCAGCAGACATCTATCTATGTCCCCTTTTACCACATCCCACAGGTCTTCTCTTGGATTGAGATCTGGTGACTGTGGAGGTCATTTAAGCACAGTGAACTCAATGTCATGTTCAAGAAAACCAGCTTGAGATGATCTGAGCTTTGTGATATGCTGGAAAACCAAATTTGATGCTGCAGCACGCAAAATCCAGAAATTTAGACAGCTTCTCTGGTCAAGGTGGAAAAGTGCTCCTTGAACCAAAACTGAAATACTTTTTGGAAATCACAGACACTAAATTCTGTGTAGCTAAAGAGAAAAAATAACAATTTAAGAACACACACATAATCAAAACCTGTTGGTGTGCATAACATCTGTGAAGGCACCATTAATGCTTAATGATACATACAGATAATGGAGAAACATTTCCTGCCATTCACATGTCGTTTGCATCAAATGTCTTGCTTTGCTTATTTATCATATATATATATATATTATATATATATATATATATATATATTATATATATATATATATATATATATATTATATATATGTACACTACATCATAAGTGAGTGTATTTATTGAGAGAAAGTTTCACTGTAAACACAACTCTGTAACCATCACACTTACATTAATGACGCTCTTGGCTGCTTCACCACAGAAGTCCGGCACAGGCCCAAAGGAAGACAGAATCCTTGTTATATTTTCACTATATCGGCTCATGTAGTCTTCCAAACCTGTGGGGAGGACACAGCTGTTCAGTGATGGGGAAGTCCATGTCGATCATCATTCCAAACAATGAATGTAGATCATCTTTATTTAAAATACCACAAAGATTCAAAGACAGTAATGTCACACAAAGTGAAAGTGATGTAATTGCAAACAGAAAAAGAAACATGTATTTCTAGATTGTGAGGGGATGGGCATAGGTGCGGCTGCGGTGCCAACTGGCAATTTGTTTTTGTCTAAATGCTTTCCTTCTGCTGGTTTGAACGTTTGACACATGCTTGATATTTTGAGAAATGGCACATGCTAGCTCCTCTATATTTCGTTAGCTTCATAGCATAATTGCCTAAGTCATTTGACTAAGTCAATGACTTAGGCACTTATGCTATGAAGCTAACGATTTCTGTGTTCATTTGCAGGGCTGCTATCTCAGTGCTTCAGAACCAGTAATATTAAGTAATGAGTTTCCTCTTTCTCAATGTTAAATATCTCATAAATAACAGTTAGATCCTGCTTTGACACTTTCTGTGTTAATTTAACTTTTAGCGCTGTTCATTGAAGCTGTTCTCTCATTTATTAACCTATAGTGACTCATTTGTGATGTAGGCAGACTGCATTTTGGCTAATCACTGACTGACTTGTCGTGAAAGTTTAAAATAAATGGGTTTGTGAAGCCTGCTACTACAAGCTTCAGTTTAATAGTGTATTTATAAGGACTGGGTAGTATCCAGTATGCTACATGTATGTATAAGCCAGTGGAAATGTCTAACACCAGCCCCTTGTTTAGCGTTATTACACGTTGTTGTTTAAAGTGGATTGCTATGCTCATTTGCAGCTCCACAATCTTATTCTTGGACTCTATTAGAACAGCTTTGCATGATTCACAGTTCTAAATAATGCTATTTTACTAGGCCTTGGTGCACTTGAGGTTCAGCCAATGTGAGAAATAATCTATTTAACCTCATTTCCACCTCCCTTTAAGCTTTCTTCTGATTGAAGATCAGAAGATTTACTGAGTGAGGTTTCTGTGCTTAAAGCCTGTAAAAATCTACGAAACAAAGCACTCAGGGCAATAGCGAACGTTTAGTAGCTACTAAGTGTGATGATGAAAGTTCTGGACAGAGAAACAGAAAAGTTTGCAGGTTTTGTAAGGGACGTTTCGTACTTCAACTATACATTACTACTCACAGAAGTAATAAAATGGGGGAGCTATATAATTAAGATCCCTATATCTAACTAGGGTTAGAATAATTAATAAAATATTGTCATTACAATAAAAAAATGTGGGATGTGACTAATGCCTGAGACCAAGAGGTTATGCAGTATGAAAATCATACCATGTATATGAAATGGGAAGCAGTATTCACTGCCCTCTAAATAACATGTCATTAATGTATATAATGCTACTACCTATAATAGTTTAAAGAGATCTTGGATTTATTTTTCTATAAACTGACAGTTTGTACAATTTCACTGCTACTCTCTCCTAAAATACCAGCAGGCATTATTTCTAATAAGAGTTCATGTCATGAGCTTGCTGGGTTATCTAGCTTGCAACCAAATGTTTGTGGATAAAATATATAGTAGTGTGTCCTAGATTGGACGCAGAAAAAGGAGCACCTCTCACAGCTAATGATCAATCAAAGAGGAAACACAGGTCCCATAACAATGACAACAACCGGGCTTAACATATCATAAAGAGGGCCAGCAGTATGGTTTGTTGACATTCCTGTGATAAGCGTAGTAGGTGAATAGGTGAAGACTAGAGTTTTAAAACCTTATTTGAGCAGAGAGATGCAAGTGTGGTGCAAGGGGGGGGGGGGGGGGGAGAGAACAGATGTGCCTACATTACTTCACATGAGGTTGTTATTAAGGTGGATCAGGGGGCTCAGTTTTAATTAGTTCTTTCAACACATTTTCAAAGAGTGGAGCCTTATTCAACGACCAGAAAACATATGGTGAATGTTTATATTTGCAATACTTCTTTGGGAAATAAGGTTTATATCCAACATGTGACAACGGGGTAGCTAGAAAACGCTTACTGTCTACATAAAGCCTAGTGGGACACGTTAATGTGGCACGACAGTGTGATAACTATCATCTACCTTCAACCAAACACCCTCTGTGGGAGGAAAATCTTAGTGTTATTTCAGTCCCTTTGCTTTATTTCTTTTCCCAAATAAGCTTTAGCTGTTATTGTTGAATTTTTTCTTATATATCTTTTTATGTAAAGCCTCACTAAACAGGGAGCCCTATTCCCTGTGCCCCTACACAACGGCTAATTGTACAGTAGAAGAAAAGACGGGACACTAATGTTACCACTGTAACTCCAATCCGATAACAGCAGCAGTCCTTGAAAATGAAGCAAACTACCCCATATGGAAAAGATATATATAAATCTTATAAAGTTTGTAACTGTCTTGTATGAAACTTGTATGAAAAGCATACAAGAGTGAAAACAGATATAAGATCCCTTGAAAAATTATATAATCAAACTTGTATGTTTTGGATACTTACTAAAAAAATATATGAAAGTAATGAGAAAGTGGCCACTTTCATGAGTAAATCATATATGTTTTTACTATTCCTTTTCCATATGGGACATAACATCACCCAGTTTGCAACTTGTCTTCCACCCATTTGCGGTACCTACCACTGCTAGCTGTACTTTTACACTAATGAAACAATTTGTGCATGGTCAGCTGAATGTTGGACAAGCTGCCCTTACTAGATAGTGTTTTAAAAAGACATCATTCTAATGCTCTTTTCTGTGAAATTGCATTAATATTTGAATACATCATATGCATCGATGAGCCATTCTTCTGCAGGCAGTGGTTTTAGTTGTAGTGGATGATTCCTTCAAAGAACAACGGCATCTCCTGTGTGCACGCACACAGTTTACAAAAGCAAGGAAATTTAGGTAGCGCAGACAGAGACAGGGAGCCTGAGTGCTCCAGTATCTGATGGGACTGATCTAAAGACTTGAAGACACAACAGGGGTAGGTCTGAGCATTCTTTTGAGAATCTGATGCTTCCTGAACAGAAAAAAAAGTCAGTAAGAAGTTCAGTACTGTAACTACAGGTAGAGCTGGCACCTGGTCTGAAGGCTGCGAGGTGAGCTCTGTGAGTTTTGGATGACTGGTGTGAGGGAGCGCATTCATCGCTACCCATCAAAAGACTGCTTTGTTCAGCCAAAGTGCACACTGTGTGTGTGTGTGTGTGTGTGTGTGTGTGTGTGTGTGTGTGTGTGTGTACACAGTCAGGGTTACTCTGGGTTTCACACTCACCTCTGATATTCTCCATCTAGCTGAGGTTTCATTCTCTCTCTGACACACAAAGAGATGTCACTGTGTGGTACACTACATGTATTTTGTGCAGCGACACGTATGAAACGCTGTGCCACTTTGAAAATTTCATGTAAGCGGTGAATTACCTTCATTACTCTCAGTCAAAGGCATTCTGTGCTCATTTACTGCAGTCGCTGATGCTCAAAAGCCTGTGCTTTGGTTAGTTCCAGTAATTTTCCACAGCATACATGGCTTGTACATTCACTCTGATTGGCAGATTGGCTGACCTGACTGGCTACCTCCCTGGGCTTTTTTAGGGGGGAGGTAACAATGTTTAAAATAATAACAATAATAATATTTATATTTATAACAAGGTGCAATAATAATTAATGTGCAATAATAACAGTGTGCAATACACATACACTTATTCTTCTTTTTTATACTAAGTTAATATACTGTGTTGTGTTGTTTGTTGCGTTGTGATGTGTCATATCGTGTCGTGTTGTGTTATATGTAGTGCCGACGTAGGACAGTTTTCCAATTTCCTTGTACTACTGTACTATGTATGACTGTGCAATGACAATAAAGAGTTATCTTATCTTATCTTATCTTATCTTAATTGAAACTGGACACCGCACAGTTGAAACTGTGCTGGATAAATGATACTTTCCTCTTCATAAACAGACATTTTATGAACTCCTTTTCCCTTATGAAGAAAGGCTTTTTGGTAAAAATGAATGATTTTGCTGTGAGAATTGAACAGAACAAACACATCATCAACTCTTTGGTTCAACTATATAAAATTCATGCTCAAAGTATCTTAAACTCAGTTAAAAAATAACCAGAATTAGTGTTTTTATATGTGAGCAAAGAATACAAACCAGGAAATTTTACCTTTAGGTGCATTGAGGTGCATTGTTTCCATGGGACCTATGAAGGCGTAACGCATTCCTAGTCCCTCTGACATCACCAGGTCGATGTCCTTTACCGAGATAACACCATCCTAATGACGCAAGTTAGAAAAACAACAGTTACATTAATTTCACTGAATCGACTGATAATATTCATTCGTTTTGTACCCTTTGTTTTCTGGATATATTTGCTGATGAACTGATCCCAGAACAGCAGCTCTGGAGTCAAACTGTTTCTTTGTCTGTATCTGTTTATCTGTAATGAGAGTTCACACATCTAGCAGGTCAACTTTGAGCCACATGTTAAGTATTTTCTCTTACTGAGTTCATCATGGTCATGGTTACCTAACAGACTGCGGGACAGTTAAGTATATACGAAGGACACACACTTTTCCCTAGCAATTCAACAAAGTCATGACTTTTTAACTCCCTATTATTCTGGAAAACCCAAATTCCCTTTGATCCCATCAGGCCACTCCAGCTATATAAAGTTTCCTTATTCAGCCAATCCTGTGTCCTCAGGATTGTGCACAGAGGGGAAGCTGGCTGAGAATGGGTCAGGTAACTTTGGTTTACAGATACCTGTTGGCCAACCATGGAGGAAATCAAAGCCCAGATACAGAGACTATGGTGAGCAAGAGGAGAGGCGACAGGGTTGTCTTTGTTTGGGTCCTGCGTCCAACAACGAGCCTGTTATCTGAGCAAAGTGGGATGGTGGGTGGGGTCTTCTCTCCACTGTAATCACTGGGGGCTACGAGCTGCTTTCTCAGCCACTCTGCTTTCCAGCTCTGGCCTCGACTCAAGGACTTCTTTTCTTTTTCTCTCTCTCTCGTTGTGTGTGTGTTTGTGTGTGTGTTTGCAAAGGTTGAGGGCAGGTCCCTGTTATGTAAGAAAGATCACAAGACCACTGTCAGGCCAAAGGCTTTGATGCTTAATGCTGAACTTCTGTACAGCTTTGATTTATTGAGGAAGAATACAGTAAATAGATATTTTTTACACATTAAGTAGAACACCTGATGAAGTCCCTGCTTTGAAACATCAAACTGAGCTGTTTTGTGTGCGTGTGCATGTAACTTGGTAGAAACTGTGTTTATTTTAGTGAATGGTTATAAAAGAAAAACAGTACTATAAGTGGAGGAGATTAGTTGTGTTGCTGACATTTGTGGGAAAATATCCATTACATGCTCGAATTTTATTTTCAATAAACAGATGATGCTACAGGGCCATACAAATGTTAAATGATCATATGTTTCAAAGAACTACATCTGATCCTTAAATTAATGATAACTTATAAGGCGTACAACATATACAATTGGTCTCTAGCCACATACATTAAAATGCAATTAGGCGAAACGGTGACGTCCATCTCGGCCACATTATTCAAGACATTGGTGCACGAAACAGCTTCCCCAAACTGGCACCTGCTCCAATGTATTTTGTAATGAAATAAACTATTAGAATACATCAATTTGTTGTAAGTGATTACCTGCTCTGTCCTGCTATGTACATGTACGTGTACTGCAGGAACTTTGAGTAATTGTCTCATCAAATACCATTCATGTTTGGTGATTTGTATGTCACATCGTTTAGTTAAGTATAACAGTGCCTTAGGTGAGTGATAAACACTCCCAAATGACTGTAGACGTCACAACTCATTATTTTTGTCGAGCAGTATTGTGGATGGCGTGCCTCTGATGCATGGCGTAAAGGAACGTTTTGGTGCAGCCAGCAGCAATTACAGAGGTGGATTCACTATTTCAGGTAAGCAAAGGTTTCTCATGTAGTAATGACATTTTAAAGGCACTTAAATTGTATTAAAAGAATTATACGTTTTTGCAGTTGAGTTTCAGGCTGTTGAAAAATGTATGGTACCTATATGAAAATCCTAGGTGATGTCTTTCTCAAATTATCATGTTCACAAGATTTTCAGAAAACTTGACCTCTGACATCTAGGTCACTGATATTCAAACTACCTCGTTCAAGATCTTAACCTAGGTTGGACGAGATAGACCACGCCTACTAAAATAAGCTGGGTGTCCATGATGCTCACCCATCAGCAGGGTGAAGACAAAACCCTGAGCATTGACTGTGACTGCAAAATAAGCCCTCCATCACCGTGCTTGACAGCTGCTGTCAAGTAACCATCACAGTGGCAGATATCCAAGAAAGGGTCTCCAGTATGAAGAGTTGGACAGCACCAGGGCCACACATGGTTCACGCCTACTGGCTGAAGAAGCTGACTGCACTCCACGAGCGTCTGGCAGCACAAATGAACCAGCTGCTAGTTAACGAGAGACACCCAGAATGGCTAACCGAAGGTCGGACGGTCCTGATCCCCAAGGACCCCAAGAAGGGACCGCCCCCTCCAACTACCGATCAATAACCAGCCTCAGTACTACATGGAAGCTCCTGTCAGGCATCATATCGGCTAAGATGAACAGGCACATGGGTCAATACATGAGCGGGACACAGAAAGGAATTGGCAAGAATACCAGAGGCGCAAAACACCGGCTACTGGTAGACAGAACAGTCAGCCGAGACTGCAAGACCAGACTGACAAACCTGTGCACTGCCTGGATTGATTACAAGAAGGCCTATGACTCAATGCCCCACAGCTGGATACTGGAATGCCTAGAATTGTACAAGATCAATGGGACCCTAAGAGCCTTCATCAGGAACTCAATGGGGATGTGGCGTACAACACTAGAGGCCAACTCCAAGCCCATAGCACAAGTCACCATCAAGTGCGGGATCTACCAAGGAGATGCTCTGTCCCCACTGCTGTTCTGCATAGGCCTGAACCCCCTCAGTGAGATCATTAACAAGACTGGCTACGGATACCGACTACGGAACGGAGCAGTTGTCAGCCACCTCCTGTACATGGATGACATCAAGCTGTATTCCAAGAGTGAACGAGACATCGATTCACTGATCCACACTACCAGGCTATACAGCAATGACATTGGAATGTCGTTCAGACTGGAGAAGTGTAGTCGGATGGTAACAAAGAGAGGGAAGGTAGTCAGAACTGAGGGGATTGAACTACCAGAAGGCAACATTGCAGACATAGAGGACAGTTACAAGTACCTGGGGATCCCGCAGGCAAATGGGAACCATGAAGAGGCTGCTAGAAAGGCTGCAACCACCAAGTACCTGCAGAGGGTCAGGCAAGTCCTGAGGAGTCAGCTGAATGGTAAGAACAAGATCCGGGCCATCAACACATACCCGTGATCAGGTACCCTGCTGGGGTAATAGGCTGGCCAAAGGAGGAGATAGAAGCCACTGACATAAAGACAAGAAAGCTCCTTACCATGCATGGAGGGTTTCACCCCAAGTCCAGCACCCTGAGGCTGTACGCTAAGCGGAAGGAAGGGGGCCGGGGACTGGTGAGTGTCAGCACCACAGTCCAGGATGAGACAAGGAACATCCAAGAATACATTGGAAGATGGCCCCAACTGACCGAGTGCTCAGTGAATACCTCAGGCAGCAGAAACCCAAGAAAGAGGAGGGAGACGAGGAACCATCATGGAAGGACAGGCCCTGCACGGTATGTACCACCGGCAGATAGAGGAGGTGGCTGATATCCAGAAATCCTACCAGTGGCTGGACAAAGCTGGACTGAAAGACAGCACAGAGGCACTAATCATGGCAGCACAAGAACAAGCTCTGAGTACAAGATCCATAGAGGCTGGGGTCTATCACACCAGGCAAGACCCCAGGTGCAGGCTGTGTAAAGATGCCCCAGAGACAATCCAGCACATAACAGCAGGGTGCAAGATGCTAGCAGGCAAGGCATACATGGAACGCCATAACCAAGTGGCCGGCATAGTGTACAGGAACATCTGTGCCGAGTATAACCTGGAAGTCCCGAGGTCAAAATGGGAGATGCCCCCAAGGGTGGTGGAGAATGACCGAGCTAAGATCCTGTGGGACTTCCAGATACAGACGGACAAAATGGTGGTGGCTAACCAACCGGACATAGTGGTGGTAGACAAACAGAAGAAGACGGCCGTAGTGATCGATGTAGCGGTTCCGAATGACAGCAATATCAGGAAGAAGGAACACGAGAAGCTGGAGAAATACCAAGGGCTCAGAGAAGAGCTCGAGAGGATGTGGAGGGTGAAGGTAACGGTGGTCCCCGTGGTAATCGGAGCACTAGGTGCGGTGACTCCCAAGCTAGGCGAGTGGCTCCAGCAGATCCCGGGAATAACATCGGAGATCTCTGTCCAGAAGAGCGCAGTCCTGGGAACAGCTAAGATACTGCGCAGGACCCTCAAGCTCCCAGGCCTCTGGTAGAGGACCCGAGCTTGAAGGATAAACCGCACGCAGGGGCGTGCTGGGTGTTTTATATATATTTATTAGGGGTGCAACGATACTCGTATCGATATTGAACCGTTCGATGCAGTGCTTTCGGTTCAGTACGCATATGTATCGAACAATACAAAATTTTAAATTTATTTCATCAACTTTTCTTCTGACGATGATGTCTGTGTTGAGAGCTCAGTGGATCTGCGTTCGACTACTCCGCCTAGGCTGCACTGTCTAGCGCAGATCCACTGAGCGCAGCGCAAGCTAGCAAGACAGAAGCTAAGCTCGTTAAAACATGGCAAATTGAACCTCCCCCACCCTCATTCATATCTGGCATTTGGAACTATTTTGGTCTTCAGCGAAATATGACCCTGAAGGTAAGCGCGTCATGGACCAAAGTAAAACAGTATGTCGCATGTGCCACGCAATGCTCAATTACATGGGTGGGAACTACTGCGTTAGCGCAGTTAGCTCGTTAACGTGTTGACGCCGTCCAGCCCCACGCACAGGGCGATCCATGGTAGCTCGCTAACGGAGATTTGCCGTGTTGTGGCGTTAACGTCATTTCAGATTAACGCTGACAGCACTAGTGGGAACACAACGAATATGACTGCACATTTACTCCGACATCATCCTAGTGCAAAGACAAGTGGAAGCAGACAAAAACAACAAGCACGCATGCTACAAACTTTACCCGAGTCATTTAGACAGCCGTTAGCACAGGATTCTCCTTATGGGAATATACTCCAGAAGAAGTGTATAGTATAGCTTTTATTTTGGAAAGAGCCATTCCTCTGTAATAAACTCTCTTTTCCAAAGATGAGTGATTTCTCAATCAGATAGATTTATTATTTTATCCCTTTGTTGTTTCAGCAACATTAAATTTAAAAACTGTACGTTTGAGTTAAAATATATATTTATTATTTTATTAAATGACAAATTAAAAAAGCATGAGCATTTTTTGTATTGAAAGTATCAAACCGAACCGAACCGTGAATTTTGTGTATCGTTGCACCCCTAGACACCCCTAATATATATATGTATGTATGTGTGTGTGTGTGTAAACTGAAAATGTATGTAAGTCTGCTGTGAAAAAAATCAAAATAAATACAGCTAAAAATAGCATCTATCTTCTCTATTTTTTGCATTTCTGTAAATTAGTTAAGTCTAAAAGTAAAGCGACATGTGAACAGAAACACTGGCTGTTGAGAGGCTCAGTTTCTAGACATTCAAAATTAATGGTCAGTGGTCAATGGTATGGTCAATGGTAACTTTATTGTCCCTGATGGGAAATTGATTCGCAGTATGTCAAACCAAACAACAAACATACAACCAACACATCACGTACACTCATTAAAAAAAAAAAATTATTCCTTTTCTATATATTTCAGTACATCGGACATTCCATTTTGCTTTATTTTTCATTTCTGTGACATAGGCTTTAGTCCCTCTGCGGCTCTGAATTGAATAAATAGAAGAGAATGGATGTTCTTTGTTGTTATTTAGATATTCAAAAATCATTTTGGATGTGTGAAAGCATCGTTTTTCATTACAATGTTACTGTGAACAGGCTGCTTTGCGATAAACTTTGGGCGCTCTTTCGAAAGCAAGAGCAACACCTTTTTTTCCCCGCCTGTCCCGTTTGGTTCCTTTGCCATCAGAATTATTGTCTAAAGGCTGAGAAAGATGCCCAACGGGTTTACTTTACCAAGTGGACCATCCTGGCCACACCATATTGGTCTATTTGATTGTTTTTATTGTTTACTTTATTTTATTTTCAGTTGCTACATACGGACAGACATGACTGGGGGAAGGGAAAGGGAGAAAGAAAGAGAGGGAGGGAAGGAAAAACAGCCGGGATAAAAATCAACGGTGATAAAGGACACAAAACAAAAAAGAGGTGGGGGACAAAAAATACACACATATATATATATATATATATATCAATCACCTGGATCACCTGTTGAGAGAGAAAAAAGAAAAGAAAAGAAGCAAGAAAGAGAGCAATATAATAAACAACATCATCGCGATAATCCATGTGTATATAACAGTAAATACTAAATATTGTATATTATTGTGCAGCATGTAAGATCGACAGCGCACAGTGTGCTTTGAGGTAGGAGCCAAAAAGGGTGTAGTTTGTGTCTGTGAGCACCCGTGTGTAAACCTGTGAGCATGAACGCGCTTGTATTCAAACAGTTCCTTCATGTAACGATCTGCTAGAGGGTGTGGGGAGCCACAGCCCCGTCCTCCAGGGCATGAAGCAGGTATGGAGGAGATCCAGGCTCCAGACATCCAGAAACCCTCAGAGTGCAAGAGTCCAAGGAAAACCAACAGAGGGGCAACCATGCCACTCTCCCGGAAAGAGCTGAGGAGAGCCCCAAATGAGGGGTCACCCAGCAGCCGCGGAGCAGAAGCCAGAGGGGGTTGCAGTAACGTGCCCGTGAGCTCCGCCGGCATCCAGCTGTGCCAGAGTGACCGAGCCCCAGGCCCAGAGGCCGAGGGCACCCCACCCCCCGAAGGGGCCCGACCGACCCACAGGTGCCAGGTCCTGACAAGCAGCCACCGGGAGTGTCCCGGTGCATACCTGAGCGCGCAGCCCTGGACACCAAGAACCAAAAATGCACCAATGTCTGAGGGCGTCAGGGGGAGTGGTGGGGGGAGATAGGCCTCCATAGAGCAACACCTTTAACAGCAGTGTGGCATTTTTGTCAGCTAAGGTCTAAGGGTGCCCTTGGGGTGGGGAGGTGGGGAATTCGCCTCTCACACGGTGGTGATGTGCACACAATAAAGAATATCATTTAGGTACAAGTCTGAGCTGCCACAGTTCTGTGTAAAATTATGAACTTCACATGCTTCGTTACAGATGTTGCAATACAGCTGGCACAGAGGCACAAGAGTGGCTTCTGCTGCATTTCGTGGAAGTATGACTTGGAGGTTTTAATTCTGAGAATACATTATTCTCAGCAGGGAGTGTCACGGTCTTGGGCTTAAAAATGACTGAACAATCAAGGGTTTTTACCTGCCTGCAGGCCCTCTTGGATCATTGCTGAACCAAAAAGCTACCGTCAAAGCAAGAAAAACAATCCAAACACTTAAGAGCTTCTCAAAGTCTAAAGCTGTGACAAACAACGAGCTCTGTTGTGAGGCAAATCATGAAGCCTGCTTCTCTTCCTGATATGTAAAACCTCAAAAATGACAAATAAACATAGTAATGGCACGGAAATTGAAGAAAGCAGTTACAGCTTTTCAAAACCACACAAGGCTAGCCACCATGATTGAAGCGTTGGGGGGGCTGTGAGTACTCAGACTGTTCCTATGGAAGCAATATGTGAAAGGTCTTGGAGAAGCTCACGGCTCTTCAACGGGAAATTGATACACCTCCGGACCAGTAATGGACATTAAGACCTGCTCCCCCCCTCTCAGCGGTGCCAGCTGGACGATGTTGACAAGAACAACAAAAAATTCTACCCTGACTCTCTCGCCCAGATTCCTCAAGGCCATCTGCGTAGGCTGTGGACTGTTTATATTTGCTTAATTGGGCAAAACGACACTTTCTTAAGGCTGAACACAGGACACACATCCTCACACGCATGCACACATGTACACTGACACAGATACACACTCACACCCCTCCACGAATCCAACACCTGCCATCCGATGCAGACGGCGGATCAGCTTTGGATGCGCAGAGTTGCGGCGTCCCGGACACAGTTTCTTTTTCCTTCTCGACTGCCCTTTTGTGTTATGCATTTCATTGTTTTCTTTATGCTGCCTGTTCTGACCTGTCTCCCCAATGTGATGTTTGTGTATTGTATGTATGGTCGGAAAGGTCCAATTTCGCTGCAGGTCAACTGCAAGCGACAAATAAAGGCAATCAATCAGTCCAGTCTTGCACAGACTATTAGTGTACCCATTTAAATAACTGGTAATATCTGGCAACAACATAAAATGAAACCAATTTCGTGCAGACTCAAAATAAACAAGCACACACTTTTTCATCTACGTTACCAGTAAACTGCAATCAACTGATGTTTTTCGAGCATACAAATGCACAAGACAGATCAGTCCTACGAATTTACTAAAGAAGACATTTTTCCTAATGCATTTATCCTTCATTAATGTCATAGAGACGTCTTTCTCAAGTGTACAAATCTGAATCATGTGCAAAGTCACGCAAGTAACTTAAAATAGATTTCTGCTCTTTCTGAGCCAGCTTTTTAATAATCCATCCAATCCCCTGCTATTACAAAGCAAAATGTGATTATCCAGTTTCCTTTTACCCATTTCAGCTGTATGGCAACTCATTTTTATTTTAGTTGCAACCAGTTGAGTAACTACTGCCATGTCTCCTGGTATTATCTCCTAATGGGTTTGTAGCTTTAAATCTATGCTAATGCTGCCTACTCACCTGTCAGGAACAGGTCTGTGAGCAACAATGCAGAGCGGCTGTTAATTTCTGCTGATTTCCATTGATGACAGCTTAACATGTCCCAACAGCTATCTTAGGAAGTCGGTTCTAATGTCATTCATGTATCACTTTGAGTGAAAGCCTGAATTGCATTTAGTTGCATTAATGGATCTAACACAAGATGACTGATGTGCATCTTTTTAAGTTCCTCAGCTCAAACACTGTCTGACATCATCGTTTTCTAGCTAATGCGGGCCTGCTTCAGCTGCTTTTACTTTACTAGAAAACAGTTTTTATGTAAATATCTAACTGACCTTTAAACCTAAATCATCTACCCTGGGAAATGTAGTTTTATTTTGTCACTTCAGCCATGGGTGGCATGGTGGTGTAGTGGTTAGCACCCCCCTGTCATCATTGCTGTGGCTGCGTGGGCTTCTGTCAGGTACTCTGATTTCCTCCAACAGTCTAACGACATACATGTTAGGTTGACTGGTGATTCTAACTTGGCCTTGAAAGCGAGGAAGATAAAAGTAGTTGAAGTGCAAAGAATGAAGTGCTTTGAGTAAGACTGGAAAGGCACTATATAAATCTAAGCACAGATTCAGTCCTTTACTAAGGACACCTTTACTACAACAACAGTCACTGACATAAAAAACAAAAGCGAGAAACTTGGAACAGACAATCGTGGAAGACGTGTGAAAGTTCAGAACTATGTGGAAGCATCTGATGTTGCATTATTTAATGGAGGGGGTCATTTAAGGTGCTTCTGATGTCTGTGGTTCTATATTTGAAGCCAACATCAAACTCTTCATGGGAATTCAGTTCGGGTAACACAGTATACGTCTCAAGTTAACATTCCATCAGCCGTGATTGTCACCATTCCCATCGCTCTCATTATCATTCAAGCTTTTTCCTCAGTGAGTGACCACGTAATAGTGCCTGTCATCAGAGGCTAAAGCTCATTTAGTCTCATTGTGCTCCTTTTTAGAGGGAGACTGTGGACATAATAGAAGAGGTGAGCTGACAAGGGCTTCCTCTTTCCTGCCTCTATTACAAAACCATCAGCAGCCACATGAAACCTGACTGAGACTGAGGCGCTCCTGTCCAGAGGTAAAAACAAGTAAAAACACTCGTCATTATGAACTAGAAGTCAGCTTTAGCAATGCAGCAGTAAAGCAATGAGGGTTTTTTTGTTGGAGATTCAGTTAGTGTCATATATTTATGAGCATTTTCTTGCATTTGAACACAAAGGTTATGAAAGCATATTCATGACTAACCTTGCTTGAAGTTGGTAGTGCTTTGAAAAACTGGCTCCTCAACACAACTCCCCACCCACATGCCCAGAAAACACTAACCTGAACTAGTCTCCATGACTCTGCAATAATGGCGGCTTGAACTCTGTTTAGGGCAAAGCCATCGATCTCTTTTTTCAGAAGGACAGGTGCCTGGCCAACCTGCGTCAGGAGAAATCAGTTAAGTCAAGCCAAGCGCAGCAAAAGATCCTACAAGACAATTATGAATAATACAGCTTCATTGATGAAGCTTAGTAGTTGCAGGAAGCCACTGGTTGTTCATGTTAAGAAAACAAGCTTGTTGAGACTTGCTTGGAATAAAGTATGTAATCATTCACATGATCACAAACTGTTTGTTAAGATTTGTGGTGTAGCAGCTGTACTCGAGACTGTGACACACTGTCAAATACTGAAAATGGCCAGAACAACGTCAAACTAATGTGAAAAGAAAGCTAGGAGCTAGGCTTATCACCAGCACTTAATACATAGTATGACAGCAGTATTGGTCTCCTAATCATAGCATGGGGTTTGGCTTCCTCGTGCTCTTAATCCACTGGTTATTCTGATTTCTTTTGAAATCTGTCCAATAAGTTCGGGCATAACAGGGCCCAGAAATGTGTAATCTTTTGTGTAAGATTTGTACCTTGGTCATCAGAGCATGGGTGGTGTCCATAACGGCTGCTGCTGTCTCTGGGTGAGGTACCAGCTCCACCAGTTTTACATAGTAGGGTGGGTTTACCTGGGGAGAGCAAAACAAACACATATTATGTTGTGTTTACTTCACTGATATGTAGGATCTGTTCTTAAGTAACAATTTTCAGGAAAGCAGTACTAACAAACAAAGCTGGACACTCAACTGTTGATTTTGCCTCATCATCGTCCTCCAACAGTGAAAGTATCATCTCAGTGCATGACAGAGCACTTCGATACGGTGTTAGCTTACTACAGTGTACGCTATCCTCATTACAGCTTTAAGACTGACAATCTAAAATGATGATAATGATTAGACACATTAAGGACAGCAAAAATGTTTATTGAGACAGAAATTAAGCACGGTGGTAAACTATAGGTTATACAGCTCCCCATCTGGCCCGTTTACACCAGTGTTGGTGTTTCCACCAGCTTCCACCACCTGTGAAGCAAATTGACCTTTAATTGACCCTCACTTTTTTCTTAAAGTCAGCATTTACAGAAACAAAAGTGCTTCATCAAACCACCTGTTTGCATAGTTTAAATATCTAGAAAGTCTATGTGTTTGGCTGCTTCCATTTACCACCAGCTTGTTTTAGGCAATGATAACAAGTTATTTAAAAAGCAGCCACCTCACCGCTTTCCAACAGCAAAACCTGTAGCATTCAAAGGTTAGTCTAAAGATGGGCATATCATGTTTACTCACGTATAGCAAACTGAACAATCTCTAATTTTTATGTTTGTTTTTAATGCTCAATTTACACAAAAATTGTAAATTTATTTGAATGTCATTGAGTGAAATAACAATTTGATCCCCAAGCAAAGCATGACTTAGAACTAGCCAGCCCTTCTTAGCGAGTACAGTGGTAAGAGGTTTCGTGTGGTTGGTTACCAGGTTTGCACACATCTCAGGAGGGATTTTGGACCACTCGTCTTTACAGAAATTTTAGAAATCCTTTAATTTTTTTGGCTCAAAGCAACCACAAAACAATCAGCTTTCATATTTTCCAATCTAGAGAGACAAAAATGATCATAAAAGGCTTTTTATACACTGAAGGCAATCATCTACAGTGATACAGTTCCACCACTGATGATTTAGAAAAGCTCATGATATACATGCTTGATTTACTGATATCCTCAAAATATCATTGCCACAGCACATGAGCAAGCAGAAGAAACGCAGGGAGAGAAACAGCTAGAAGATAAAAATTATAAACAAGTCCATCTGGCTCATGAGTTCAGGTGAACCATGTTTACCTCCATCAGTTAGGTCATGTTGTTGGTAGCGTGCTCATATCATAAACCAGTCATAACAAAAGCATTCAATGTTTTTGTAAACAGATGTCACTAGTATGTTGTGGAGTACGGTCAGGTCTAAACAGAAACACTCTGCATGGATAAACTAAATGTAAGTCTAATGTAATCCTTGTGCAATGTTTTGTATAAACAAAAGTGCTCAGCTGTTCTGACCCATTAATGTGTTTGGCTATTCATAGTATACTGTAAGCGAAATTTGTTGTGATGCATTTACTTTGATTGATTGATTGATTGATTGTGGTTGGGATAGCCTGTAAATATAACCAGATCCATTAGTACTTCAATGGAAACTCACAAATCTGCCTCAGTATGGGAGCAAAAGAAGGTGTGACTGAAGTCTAGACTTTCAGCTTTAGGTGAAGGGATTTCAAAACTGTGAGGTCTAACTCGTCACTGGTAATTATCCTGATCCCAAGCCTTTGTTGTGAAAGTATGGTTTTTTTTTATTGTTCTCCAACTTATTCTCTTGGCAATCAGGAAACAAACGAAATAATTTTAACTGACACACATAAAAAAAACTATTTTCTTTTTTCCCACAAGAAAGTTCTTCTTGTTTTTCTCCCAAACACAGAATCAGAGTTAGCCTCGTCACCAATCACAAGTCAGACGTCAGAAGGCTAATAAAAATACTTTCATAACCATTTAGCAATTACACACATTTTTCACAATGAAATCCCTTCGTTTCCCAGTTCAAAAGTGTTTTTTCTCTGTCTCAATCTCTCATCATTTCCCTGCTTCTCTTCAGTAATCGAACCTCGTTCGCAAACTTCTCCCTCTTTTCTGTCATGACCCTGACCCCTGTTAAGGTAATCTATTTATCAGACAGTCAACACACAATTGACCCTGTGTGGTTCATGCAGTTCATGGCTGTCAGCTCACTTGGCTTTCTTCTATAGTGTGTCTTCCTCCCTGAGCCTGGTTCTGCATGGGGTTGTTTTCTGTTAAAAGGGTGTTTTTCCTTCCCACTGTTGCCAGGTGCTTGCTCATAGGGTTGCCTTATTGTTGGGGTTTTCAAAGTGTATTGATGTGACTGTTGTTGTGATTTTGTGCCATTTTAAATCTGAATTATAAAACTGTCCTTATATACATATTTGGCATTGATCATTCAAAATGTTGATTATTGCTGAAAAATCCTGCATTGTGCTACATCTCCACTTGTAATTAAGTTTGTTCAGTTTCTCTGTTTCATCAGAAATGCAGAGTGATCCCTTGTGAATTGGATTTTGCCAATCTCATATTCAACCGAACTAGATCTCTTTGTTTAGCTTTACTGAAATTTAACTTGTTCCACTGTGAAATAATCAGTAGCTTGCATTCACAGGCCTTCACCATGCCTGCCAGATCATGTGGTATGGTGTGGATCATGATTTGTGCCTTCCCTTCCTCATGCACTTCCCTTTGTTCTTCTACTAGTTAATCTTGGTTTTATCGGTTCAAAGAATCTTTTTCTAGAACTAGTCTGGCTTTATTAGAGACTATTAGGCAAAGTTTAAAGTGGTCTTCTTGAGCGTAAACAGTGGTTTTTCATTATCTCTTGCTGTAAATCCACTGTATTTACATTCATTAAGGCCTCTCTTGCTTTTGACAAAGATACTTGAGATTTTTTCTTGCCTTAGCTAGTTGTGTGAAAGTTTTTGTCTTAATCATGGAAAAAATTCTGTCATCATCCCCTTGAAGTTTTCTACATGTTCTTTCGGGCCTTTTGTTTTACAGAGCTGGTCAGAGGATTTCTTCTTTTTAAAAATGTTTAAGATTGTTTTTTTTTACCACTCCTAAAGCTTTTTCTTTTTCTCTGAGAAGTGGGATTATTAGCTTAATGTTGGCCTCCTTCACTTGCATCGACATGTCTTTGGACTCCTTACTGAGAGCACCACTGAGCATCAACCACATACTCATTCAACACTTGGACTCAACTCTATTCCTTTTATCTCCTTAATTTGTCATAACATAATCATAAAACAAGTCACGTGCCAATGAATGGGCTCATGATTTACACACTCAATTACTTTTGAGCCTGTAAAAATGGAGGGATTACAAAATAAGTATGTAATTCTTAATGATTAATGCAATTTTTTTGGTCAATATCAACACCTTAACCGCATTTTAATTGCTTCATTTCAAGCTCACTGAGTTTGTGCACCATATCACTGTGAGGAAACTTACAGACCTGGCTGTAGATGACTGATGATGAATTATGGGCTGGCGTGCAGGTTAACACACTGTGTACAGTTTACACCACAGTACCTGGAAATGCCTGAGCATATGAAGTACTAACCGGATGAGAGACGAGGCAGCGACTCCTATTCTGGACTTTAGAAAAGACTTTGCTGGGCACTAGGCAGGACGTGGAGCTGCTCAGGATGACGTCTTTTCCCACAAAACGCTCCATGTCATGGAAGATGCTTTGCTTTACCTCCAGCTGCTCAAATACACATTCCTGGGAAAACAAAAAAATACATAAACGCAGGTAAGGTGTGAAAGCCAAATATTATTTTCTATAATGCTATAAGTAAACATTATCTCAACCCAAAGTCAGTGAAGCATCCCACTGAATATGGAACATGTAGTCATAGCAACAATCAAATTATTTATTACAGCTATTAATTTCTATAATTTGGATGAACTGCTGCTTTGACTCTGTAATTTCTGATGTCAACCTTTCTTTGACAATAGCAAAGACAAAACCATCATAACAATAAAGAAACATTTAATATTTGTTTCTTAGTGTTAAACTTGAATCTACCACTGTCCACAGCTTTGGGGAATGTACTCAGGGAAATGTGTTAAAAGTCATGCAGTTAACACCTTAAACACGGAAATTAAACCAGTTTGGCTCTTAAACTACCTGCTTAACGTCACTTCACAGTGATGAAAAGGTGTGACTCTCAAAATCGGTACTCTTCATTTGCAATCTTTCTCATCCTGGACACAAAACTGCAAAAACTGGCTGAACAACCTCAGTATACCTCACATATACGCATTATAATGAAAGGCTCTGCTAAAAGGATTTGTGCTAAAACACAAGCAATAACCTAATCTACACTAATTCTAATGACAATATTATTTTTTTTAGTTTGTTTTTTTAGTTTAGTTTAGTTGTTAAAGTCCAAAGTGGTCCCAGTGGCAACAGGAGTTGGGAGCTGTAACCCCCAAACTGAAAGAGTGATTCCAGGCACAACATCAGAGTCTTTTAACAGAGTTGAGTCCTAGGAACAGCACAGGCCTCAAACCTCAGTTTCCTTAAATAGAATGGACGCTCATGACAGGTCAGGCTCATGTGTGTAAATGTTAACTTATACTAATAAGAAACACCAATAAGTGAATACTTGGCATTTCCTGATGTGGAAAAGACCTCCAGTATGACCCCTGACAGAGACACAAATCCCTGTGGCGTTGTGTCAGGATAGCATCTGGTTGTAAAAATCTGCTAAATCAAACATGAAGAACTACCTCCTCTGACGAAACCTTTGGGAATAAGGGAGCAGCCAAAAGTAGCTCTTTCTAGTCATCTGTAAGTTGGACTATTCCCATTATCATTTGTCTCCAGTTCTGCATCTTTCTCAAAGCTCAAGTTTTCTTCAGTTCTGGCCAAACTTCATTGTAAACAAGCCACACTAACCTATTTCTGTGCATGAAAGGAACATATAAAGAAATCTGGACAGCTTAAGTGCTTAAGCGCCCTTCACGTCTGCTCCCACTGCTCCACCAAGCCTTACACTAATCGTCAGAAAACAGTTAGGCAAGTTACTGATCTGTAGCCAAGTGACTAATAAAGCCTCCCGTAAATATTCTCCCAGATCAATAGTAGAGTGAAACTTACAGGTGGTCAGATGATGTCATGCTATCAGGACGTATGTACCTAACGGTGCTCTCGGGAAACTGCATATTTCTATGCAGCATTTCCCTGTTCCTGAGTCCACAATTGTTCCTTGTTGGAAGGAACTCAGCGCAGTGAGTATTGATTTTATTTGACTCTACCTGCCTCTGTGCACTCTGATCACATCTACTGTGAAGAAGAGCTCCATTGTCTACTTTAGCAGTTTCTAGCTGGCGAGCATTTTTCTGGCATAAAAGGTTGACTTCATACTGTATTTTAAGTGACTGTGACTGTGTTTAGATAAGCACAGTTGATTGTGTGTTTGTGCTCATTTATAATTTGACATAGATGAGTGATTTTTAATGAAACGTCTTTCATTAGTACGACAACACTTCTTATAACAAACTCCATCTGACTTTCTTGTCAAAGGAAAGCTCCACTTTACAATTTATAATAGCAATAACAGCAAGAATCTAGAAGCATTTTGCATTGTATGGTAGATGTCTCAACAATTTCCTTCAAGAACATTTTTACAGAAATGAACAAAAGAAAAAAAACAAATCAAAAGTCTCTTTTTGACAGCAAGGCTCAGGGAGCATAGCCATCAGACTCGACTGGCTGAGGTGAGCATCGTGACGCAACGAAGACAAACAATGCAGGAGGAAAGAGGAAAACTCAACAGATTATAAAACGTATGAGTTCTGAAATGTTCAAGGTTTTTAGAAAGCATTTTACTTTGGCCAAATGACTAAATTCTTATGGTCACATTGAGAAAGCTGCTCTGATTCAAGGTAAACAACTAAATCTGTAATAAATAACAGATTAATTCTGGGCTATTTTTAAATGAGTAATCAATATTACTCAGTTCATATTCCTTTATTGCAATTATATTAAGCCATTATATTTCTATGACTTTGCCTTTGGTGACAGACAGAAAGTGTGAGTTAGCAGCGCAGGGAAATGACACGCAGCAAAGAACCAGCCAGCTTGGTGTCCAACCATGAATTTGTAGCTAAAAGCATGAAAGAGTGTGTGATATGTCCTCTAACCACTTAGCCATCAGGTTAAACGAGTTGCTTAACAAACATTAAAACATTCCTTGCTACTGAACCGCGAATAAAGAGAGAAACTAGGGTGAACTCTCAGTACTCATTTTTTGACAGGTTCATTATATTCATCATCCCTAGAGTTAAAAATTTATACCTCGGTTTTACCTCCTTTATGACAGACATGTACTCTATATGTGCATGCTGCCATTAGAATCAGTTCACACACTGATGGACTGACAGTAGCTGCTCAGAGGGCTTGACCTCATAACAACCATCATAATCATCATCTTCTCCTCCTCCTAGCTGTGCCTCTATATAGAGGCTCCATGTTCTTCATGCTGAGAGAGGGCCAGCCAGTCTCACCATCATCCTTGCCCACCTTTATTAGTGGAAAGTCGACTGAATACAAGTACCTTGGAGTTATGTTTGCTGGCAGACTGAAATGCAACTCTTGGACTGACTGCTTGTGTAGTGAGAGACAGCACAGAACATATTTTTGAGGACATTTTATCCTTTAAGGTGGATTCTAAAATGCTTCTGAGGTGCAGAAAAACAAGCAATTAGAAGGACAGTAACAATTTCTAGTAAGATGTCGGGAACTGCATTACCAAGCTCAGCAAGCATTTATCGGGACTATTTATGGAGCAAGGCAAATACTGTGAGTGATATGAGGATTTGACTCCTCCACTGAACTACTAAAACCTGCATGGTGCTAATGTTCCCCCATAAAACAGGTCCAAACTGTCTTTTACTTCCCAAGCCATCAAACTTCTGAACACAAGCAACACACAGGTTGCCTAACTGTTCTGGCCACAGTCATCCTTAAGATCCAAGAAGAAGAGTAAAGGTGTCTGTATACAGTGTGTGCTTTGTGTCTTATGTTGATGCAGTTATTTTTATGTGGTGTATACAAATCTCAGGTGACTCTGAAATCACAATGCAATCACATTTACCCATAAGGACAAGTAAATGCATTAGTTTTTTTGCCCAGTAATGTACTGACCACTGATATACTATGAAGCTATCCTAGTAAATGAAGAGAAACAAAAAAGTTTGGAATTCACGTGTTAAGCAACTGAAGGAACTGAAGTGTTATTATGCAAAACATCTCCATATTACTGTATGATATCACAACCCTATGTACGACAGGGATTAGGGATATTAGTCTAAGTTCAAAATGTGACGTGAGAATGTCACGGAATATGTCAAATGAAATTATGCTGCCCCTCCTTGGGGGGTAAATGTGTAATAACAAAGCCAGAACGTATTGACCTGAGAGTGTAGTAACCATTCCTTTAATGCTGCTTTGTTTAAACTATGTGAACCAATAAATGAACAAAAACGAGTGTTTCCACTGAGTCACACACCACATACTTTTGAAAAGACCCACACCACAGTGAAGAGAAGCCCCGTGTTTCATCAAAGTCTGCCAACATCCACAAAACAAATGTCCGTACGTGTGTGACGGAGCAAGTGGTTAATGAAAAAATAAACAAATCACCAGAGAGCAATGTTGTTTCCACTGGTTTTACGATTTGGGCCAACGAGATATAACAGCATGTATTTGTTCTGTCAGCGGTCTGTGTTACCTGCACAAAGAAGGCTCCATCCAGTGCCTGAGACAGGTCATCATAACTGCTGAGAAGGGCAAGTTGCTGCGCAGCAGACAGCTCCCCTCGCAGCATGTGGGCTTCCTCCAGCTCCACCAGCTGTTTCCTGAGGGACAGAAACTGCAGTTAACACACACACACACATAATGCATGAACAAACTGCCCTCTATCATGACATTTTCAATTTGAAAAGAATCATTACCACAGGCCTATTATATAAGTAGTAGTAGAATGAAGACTTTGGAAGAAATAAACAGATGTGTTAGGTGTGTTATTATCAGCCAAAAGAAGTGGTTCTAATATAACACAAAGCAGACAATGCTTCAAATATGGATGCTGCTACAAAGAAGCTAGAGATTCTAAAGTGTCTGCTCTGTACACATTTCCATCTCAGCAAAGAAGATTCAGACACTCAGCACAGTTTCAGTGGGGGTAGAGTATGTCACCAACTTCACCAACTCACTGTATGAAAGTATGCATTGTATTGGAGTATTGTGCAAATTTCTCTAACGAGGCATATGTTTTTCACTTTGGCCTTTAGTGCAGAAAAGAATAATAAAACAATAAATATTCTGGTTTATAGATCGGTCTGACAACCTAAAATGAGGTGCAGGTTTCAAAGGAGAGCGTGTAGTCTGCTGCAAATCCTGTTACGCTGTCTTAACAGTAACAGTGATGACACTTTTAAGGTGTGGAGTACATACCACCACCTTTTTGCTCTTACTCAACTCTTCTCTTAATATGTTACAGAATGTGGCAGTTACATAACACTGTATCACATGAGTCAGGAAGATATCTTCCTTTGAAAAAAAATTAAAGTAATTTAGACTAAGTGACGGTTTATGAAAACAGGGCACACAACAGAGAGCAGTCTAGCTTGTTCAGCAGGAAATCACTCACAAAGGGCCCCTGAAATTTAATTCAGTGACACCCTCTACTGTTCATATAAACAAATACGTCTCCAACGGCTGAGTGATAGGTAGTGGCATGGACTTAGAGGGAGAGTTACATTCATGAAATACTGGTATAGAGATTAAGGTATTAAGGTTTTTATAGCTTAAGGCACTGTGACTTTCTACAGCACTTTCATTAAAAACTCAGCGTCATTCCACAGTAATGTTTAACCACTAATAGCCAGGCTGTGAACATGTGTTTATTCGTATGTGCTCACAGTAGGAGCCAACTGCTGATCATGGGGTATTCATATATGTCTTCTCTGTAAGCACTGAAAGGAAGAACAGGTTACATTTTAGACAGACTGTCTCTAACTCATCAGGGCAGAGAAGCCCTTAGTGTCAATGTTTCCTTTAGGTTTTGCAGGCACCAGACAATAGTTTAGCTTCTGTAATGTATATTTTTATATTTTTGATGATATATATATATATGTGTTTTTTTGTTTTTACTTAGAATTACATCTGGGTTAAAAACAAATTTCTGTTGACGATAGAGGTATAATAATGCAGTTAAGACTGAAGAAGTTTGTCTGTGTAACCCAGATGGGTCTTTAAGTTGAGCAGTAGAACTCACTTGATCTCTGTGATGGCCTTGGTAGACTGTCCTGGTTGGTTGTCATAGATCTTCACATTGTAGCCTCCACTGACAAACAGCATAGCCCAGGAGCGGCCTATCAGCCCACTAGAACAGGGAAGAAAATCACATGGTAACAGACATAAAACATAAACCCCAATAAGCAGACTTAAAAAACAAAATCAAAGCACGGGCTGAATGTTGTTTTTCAGTAAAGTCCAGTAAAATCACACAGCAGTAAAGTGCTGACAGTGTGCCTGTCTGCTTGCTGACACCAGCTTCATTTTCCTGTCTTCCTGTCATGTTTTGACATGTAACCAGAAGTGAAGTGTAAATCCACTGTGAATGTTTTCTCAATCCCTTCGCCATCCATCTGAATATTATTGCAATGTTAACACACAAAGATTACCCCCTAAAACGTATGGCAACATAAGTGAAGAACTGTGAGGTTCAGTGCTTGCTTTGCAAGTTTAAGAGAGGTCACTTCAGAGGCACTGCCATGTTTAATGAACAGGGTTCAGAAGACAGGTTCAATTTAAAGCCTCTAAAATCACACAGCTATAAACCTTCACGCTGTCGTGATAAACAGGATTATTCACAAATTCATTCTGACTGAAAACACAAGACAAGCGTTCATTCAGAACAGTCCTGTTTATGTCGTGAGCAACAGTATGATGCACACAATGCAGTCACCAAAATAAAATTACATGCACTGATACTGCAAACTACAGCTTTCAACCAGTTTTTCATTCAACAAAGCAACTTTCGTTTCACCTTCATGAATATAGGTCAGGGCTAGCACTGTTGCATCATTTTACAACGCATAATACATTGTTATCTCGCTCACCTGCCAATCACAGTTATAATCTTCATGTCAGAAACGTTATAATGTTTTGACACCAGCTAAAACTTAACTTACAAGCTTTCTGTTGCGCCGCCCACCTTGACAGTCACGCTGACCATGGTGTACGGTGACCTAGAAGGACCAAAGAAGGCAAACGAGCGCACAAAGCTTGTTTTGCTTGAAATGAGCAATAAAGAAACCCACAAACTATTAATTGTAACTTTTTATAAATAATAAATACTATGTATGTAATTATTTAAAAATAATTTTGAGAATATGAAGAAGAAATAAGTTGTAGCGTTGTAGTGTATCCTAGCAACGAACGAGCGCAACTTCAACCAATTAGGTTGAGGCCAGACGATGATGGACGCGTGAAAAACCAATCAGAGGTTTGAAAAGGAAAACTGTCCCGCCCGTGCCGCGTTGAATTGTGGGACGAAATCCTAAAAGGACAACAAAATATTATCAGTTATCGCGCATAGAAAACTGTTTGTTTGCCACACATTGAGGATTATTTTCATACACTACCTTTCCGGAGAAACAGAAATGGAACATGTGCATCTGGCTGTGGAGGAGGACGACCTTTATTCGGGTTACAATGATTATAATCCGACATTTGACTCGGAGGTAAGTTAACCGCTAACCTAACACTATATTAGCACATTGTTTCTAAGCGTATAGAAAATCAACTTTGAAAAATTAATGTTGGTTATATGAGGTCGAGATAGTGGCATGGCGAAAGACTAATTACTTCAAAGTTTTATTTCAAAATTGTTTGTGTAAAAAATGTCTGCTCTTCCGTCGGCCCACTATGTAAAAAATGAAGACTAATTGTTGACTAATTTTAAGGAGCTGGAGAATGATGTGGGCTTCCAGCAAGCAGTGAGGACAAGTCATGGAAGAAGACCCCCGGTAAGTGCCAAATACTCTGTGTGTGTGTGTGTGTGTGTGTGTGTGTGTGTGTGTGTGTGCGTGTGTGTGTGCGTGTGTGTGCGTGTGTGTGTGTGTGTGTGAATGAGTAAGTAAGTGGGAGAGAGAGTGGGGTTTTCTGGAGGTGTGTAAATCGTTTAACTACTAATATATCATGTCTTTAATTTTCTAGATGACTGCCAAGTTTCCTGGCACTCCCATTGGACCTCGATCTTTAGCTTCTTCTTTTGGCGTAAGTACAATGAAATAAAATGATCCTTTAAAAGTGAAACATTTTTGAATGAGCACAACAAATACAGATACCTCCTTCAAAGTGCAGTTCTTTGTTGAAAGTTGCTCAGATTAAATCAATGATCAGTGACAAGATGTGCAGCCAATGGTGATTGTTTCATTACTGTGAAGCATTTATGTGGAACGTTTTTTTCATATCTACATGTTAAAAGACCTAAATTATTGTTATTGATTACAATATTAATACTTATTGTTTCACAAAGGCTCGGCTTCATATGGCCTCTTCAATGGGACGACCCATGACTGGAGCTGTACAGGTGAGAAGTATTATTGAACAATCAAATGTGCAAATAAGGTCTTGCATAGTTTGTTAGATTATTTTTTTTATAATTAGTGTTTACTATATATGTATTTTTTGTTATTTTGCAAATGTACCAGGATGGGTCAGCCCGTCCAATGACTGCCGTCAAGCAGCAGGTTACACCTCCTCCCTGAGTCGTGGTGAGTTTAAAGTTGTCTGTTTCATCTATTGTCTTTTGCGTGTCGATAATGATTTAAAAGTTATTATTGTATACTTCAGGAATAGGTACAGTTGAGTGTTTCTAACATAAAACAATAAAAAAAAAAATTGCATTTTTTTTGTTAATATAAACCTCTGTGCATTCCTGTAAGGACATATTTATAGATGCAAGTTCTGTGTCTTTCCCCTTGCAGTTATATAGTGATGAATTGGTATGATTTATATTTCAGGCTCAGCCTTTGACCCTCTGGGCCAGTCCAGGGTCCTGCACCTGCACTCGAAGCAAAGAATGAGGATACGTAAGTTATCACTTTAGACTGCTTTGTTTCAGGTGTGAAAATGCTATGCAGTACACTCACTCTGCAAACTTCATTAGGTATGCCTGTTCAACTGCTCTTTGATGCAAATATCTAATCTGCCAGTCTTATGTCAGCAACTCAGTAAATTTAGGCACATAAACATGGTCAAGATGACCTGCTGAAGTTGAAACCTTGCATCTGGAAAGAAATGTGATTTAAATGACTTTGAACGGGGCATGACTGTTTGCTTGAAACAGCCTGGTTTGAGTTTGAGTGTTTAAAAAACTGCAGATCTGTTGGGAGTGGCAATTTTCTAGTTGAAATTGTCGTGCTGATGCTGCTTTGAGATGATAGGAAGGTAACAGACAACCACTCTTTACAAGCAAGGTATGCAGAAGAGCATCGCTGAATGCACAGCACATCAAAACTTAAAGCAGATGGGCTACATCAGCAGAAGACCACGCCATGTGACCCTCCTGTTAGGTAGTACAGGAAGCTGAGGCTACAGTTTAGAGGGTCACTGAAACTAATAGAATAGATTAGAAGAACAGAAAGAAAGCATCGCTTGTGAAATTCTGATTGTAGGGTCACAATTTGGCATAAGGAACAAAAACATTTCCCATCCTTCTTCGCACCAGTGGTTCAGGCTGGGAGTGGTGGTGTAATGGTGTGGGGGATATTTTCTTGGCACACCTTGGGCCTCTTATTACCAGCTATTATAAACTGACAAATGTTTCACTCTCATCATGTTCTTGCAGGCCTGAGGAGAAGATCAAAATCTTGGAGAAGAAAGTGAATGACCTGATAGAGGAGAGCTGCATGGCACAGAGCATGGGAGCCTTACAAGTGGTCAGCCTTTCACTCTTTAACAAACTTTTTACTAATGTTGACTGTCTGGATTTAAAGAGAAGGCTCTCCAAGTGGGGCAGTTTGTCATAATTCATTTTTAACTGTGTCAGCTCTCTCACAGTAGTATAAAAATGTAAGCAGTATAAAAACTGCTTACATTTCTACCAGAGTAATACCTAAAACGGCTGTTAGGACAAAGTACTTGAAGTTTATCAACCTTCCCATTTCCAGTGGTTTTTCATACATGAGGAAAATTGGTCTAATATTTTACAGGCAATGTGTTATGTCACATAACAGCAGTGTGTGGTTTGCTGTGATTTCTGAAAAATTAAAAGAGCTGTTTTTAAAAATATTGTTATTACAGGTAATTTTCATCTTGGGAAGGCCAAGGCCTTTTTGGTCGGCACCAGAATGTCTAATGGGCAGGAAAAACTTGTTACATCATTGCAGCAGAGTGTTTATTCATAATTACTTCTGATTATTACCAGAAGTGGCTTACTTGCTGTGTGTGTTTGTGTGGGTGTGTGTCTGTGTCTACAGGCCCTTGAAAAAGCCAAAGAGGCAGGGCGGAAGGAGAGAGCCCTGGTCAGACAGAGGGAACAGTCTGGCAGTGCAGACCATATAAATCTAGACCTCACGTACTCTGTAAGTCAGGCTGCTGTATGCTTGTTCTACACTCTGCACTCATGAGTAATGATTTGCTTTCTAAAAGAACAGTCTGGTGTTGATTTTCTTTTGAAAAAACTACTTTTTAATGCCTGAAAAACCAAACTGATAAGTGATAAGTAAAAATAAGCAAGAGAGGGTTTTTTTTCAGTCAAAAATAAATCAAAGTTGTACTTTTCATTTAAAATGCTCCATATCCTCCTGGTCTACAATAACTGTAGAAATAAACCACAAGTGCTTTCTCAGTAGTGTATGCAAAATCTGTTCTTATT